CTGACGCCACTCTTCACCAGGCCCACATCCCTCGAGATCACAAACTCAACCAGGGCGTGCTCACTGCAGCCCAGGCTGCTTCCAACCTTAACGCCTTTAATGATCTCCTCCACACTGGTGAGCAGCAGGTCCAGCAGTGCTTCACCTCTGGTCGGTCTGTCCAACACCTGGACCTGGAAGTTATCATGAATGGATTCCAGGAGCCTCCTGGATCTCTTGCAGCTTGCTGTGTGGTCTTTCCAACAGATCTCCAGATGGTTGCTTTCACCCATCAGAACAAGAGCTGTGAGCATGATTCCCCCTGCATCTGAAACAAGAAAGCTTTGCCAACAGTTTCCCCTTGGTCAGGTGGCCTGTAGATTACACCTTTCAGCAGCTGGCCTTTGTTAGACCCATCCCTAATTCTAACTACAGGCTCTCAACCTGTTCCTGACCTTTTCTCAAAGGGAGCTCCTCACAGTCTATCCATTCTTTGATGTAGAGGGCAACTCTCCCACCCTTCCTACCTCACCTATCCCTTCTGAAGAGCCCATATCCCTCAGTATGGTATTCCAGTTATGGGAGCCATCACACCATGTTTCCGTGATAGCAACAAGGTCATAACTTTCATCTTTGCTGCAGCAACAGGAGAGAATTCCTTGGGCATTTCCTCTTTGAGCCTTAGAGAAATTCAGCTACAGCATCAGCAGGACGGGAGTGGAATGAGTTCTGGATTTGGAATGGTTTTTTAAAAGGGTAGAGTTCAGCTTCTGATGTTCTTTGCATTTCAGAAAGTCACTTTGCACATAAAGTGGCCTAAGAATGTGGAAGTAGAAGGCTATGGGACCAAGAAGATCGATGCTGAGAGACAAGCAGCAGCTGCTGCATGCCAGCTCTTCAAGGTGAGCTTTTGTTCTTCATAGCTTGATGAAATGAGCCTTTGAGCATGCAGGCCTTCCCTGCTCTGCTGATACTCCTGAATTTTTCCGTCTTTGCCTGTTTACCTTCTTAGTTGGCCTGTTTGGAGTTTCCCTCTCATCTGTGGAGTAGGAGCAGTGCTTCCTACTAAGGAGCCTGGAGGAGGTGCTGCAGGTGCTCCGACAATAGGAGAACTTTTAATTTGCTTGTAGATCAGGAAAGCTACATTTAGAAGTAACTGTTTAGTTTTCAGGCTGAACCTTCAGAAGTCAAGGATTGCAGCCTTAAAGCCAGCAGTTTCTTCAGCTGGTTTGTTGAATCCTGTGATTAGCAAAACTTGTTCCACTGGTTGGCTTTACCTGCAGCACAGTTGGTGCTCATTCAGTTCATGTTCACTGAACACATGTTGTTGTTTTATCTCTGCTCTTCAGCACTCAGTGAAAGCAGTGTTTCTGGCTGTCTTTGAAACCCTGAAAGTTTTCAAAGGGAAACAGTTCTACCTACAATTGCAATTTGTTTTTTCTGAATTTGGGGAAATCACTGAACTATTTTCACTTTGGAACTAGAAAGCAAACAAAACCAAAATGAACAACAAAAAGGCAAAAAACAACTAACCCTGGAACCATAGATTAAGCATGCAAAGTTTTAACTGTGTGGTTTGCCAGCTAGAGCTGAAACCAATGGGAAAACCCAATGATGGGAGACCTTGTGCAGACCTAGCTATAGAAATAGCCCCAGTGCTGCTCTAAGTGAATGGTCATCAATGTGGTACTGTTAACTGGGGCAGAGGGCATCTGAATATGACTTTTGAGTATAGCAGCAAAGTGAATTCTTGCTATGATAGACACTCCTACAGCACCAAATAATACAACCTTATCTAATAGGGGTCCTCTGAGAGCTAAAGATGCAGTTGATTGTAGTGGTCTGGTAAGACCGTGCTAAAAAGGTGCTGAATGCAGTTAAAACCTTATAAAACACCAATAGATCCTGGCCCAGCCTTTCTAAGGAGATACAGAATTCCAAGCAACTGTGCTTTGAGAAGGGAGGTTGGTGTACAAATTTCCTTCCTTAAGTGCTGCCTGGAGGAAAGCTTTGAGTTTCTGAAAGTGCCTTTTGTGTGTAATGTGAAGGAACCTCTCCTTTCCTTTTCTCCTTCACCAGGTGTGTGGTGCTCCCTGCAGTTACATTTCTGCCTCCTCACTGCTGCTCTCTAACTGTCGTGTCTCTCTGATAGGGCTGGGGTTTGTTGGGGCCCAGGAATGAGCTGTTTGATGCTGCCAAGTACCGGCTGCTGGCTGACCAGCTTGGCTGCCCTGATGAGAGGTGGTGCTCAGAGGGCAAATGGCGCTCCAAGTCTGGCCCTTCCCTCGCCGACCTGTCGACCTGCTGGCGGCGGATGGAGCCCGACGACCCCATCCAGCCCATGGAGCAGGGCAGGATGCCCAAAGCCATGAGGAGAGAAGAGCTGGAGGAAGGGGAGCTAGAGGAAGGGGAACTGGAGGAGGGAGAGCTGGAAGAAGAGGCAATCGATGTTTCCGATTATTTACCCATGGCACATCAGGATGCTCGAACTCCTGGCAGAGATGCGAGGTGAGTCTGTCCAGGTAGCTGCTAATGCAGGGCAGTAAAGAGGAGAGATTTTTTTTTTTCCTTTGTAGCTGATGCACCCTGTAGTTCTTCAGAATGGAGCTGCAGCTTCCCACGTTGCTGGTGTGACCCAGCAGATGGGCCCAGCACTGACTGTTGTGCCATTTTGTATGTGAAAGTTAGTGAGGCAGCCTGATCTTGTGCCTGTCTGCACAGTGGAATGCCCAAGTGCAATCTTTGGAGACCTGGGCCTAAAGAGATTTCTGTTTTCAGGAGCAGTGCAGGTCGGAGTCCTTTTCTAATCCCCTAAATGTTGGGGGCAATACTAAGTCTGTTCCTTTTCACCACCATGCTTGCTTGATTTTATGAGCATGAATCTTACATTTCAAGCAGTCAACAGGAGAAAAATCAGTAGGATCCATGTGGTGGTGGTGGTTGTTTTGAGGGATGTTGTTGGATACAGAAATAACCCTTCCTTGTTGTATTTTTTTTGTTGTTTTAATCAGTTAAAAGCTGTTTATTGAGTCTGGTTTGTAATACTACTGTAATGTTTTAATTACTGCTCAGGGTGATTGTTCTGTAATTGACAGATTTTGGTAGTAAGAGCAGTCTGACTGATCAGGTGACTGAGGTTACCTGTACCTGTACTCAGTAGCAGACCAGAAGTGAGGTGAGTCTGAGGATAGAGTGGATATTTGTGTATCAAACTGTTCTCTTCCATCTAGCCGAGGAGGGAGTTCCATTGAAATGACAGATGACAACACTGCCATCCGTGCTCTGACGCAGTTCCCGCTTCCCAAAAATCTCCTGGCCCAAGTGATTCAGATTGCAACCTCTTCCTCCACAGTCAAGGTGAGGTACTGTTTGCTCCCTGCCCTGGGACCTGCAGTGAGGAAGCTCAGAGGCTCTTTGGATGCTTCTTTGGGCACCTGGGTATTGGGGAGAGAAGGGAGGTTAATTAGGCTGACAGAAATCAGCCTGAAGAGTGGGAGAAGTCTTGGTGGGAGTTAAAGAAATGTCTTAAAAAAAGCACCAGAAATGCTGTTACTTGAGGTCCAGGCAATAGAGGAGCTGTTGTTTGTATGAAGGAGTCTGTTTTCTAAGATAAGTTGGCACTTCCTCTAATGTCTGCACCAAATACAAGTTTGTGTTACTCAGAACTGTGTAATTTCTGCGCTGGTGGAATCTTTCCTCACTTTGGTTCTTGCCAGTATCCAGCAGTTCTCCTCCTTGGTGTGTGTCACCCACCTCCTTTCCAGACCCCATGTGCTTAGCTGTGCTGTCAGATACGTTCTTTTCCACACAGCTGTCTCCTTTCACTTTTGCCTCAACTTACGGGCTTGAGGTGGAATTCATACTGACAGAATGGCCTGGGTTGCAAAGGAGCACAATGCTCATCCAGTTCCAACCCCCTGCTGTGTGCAGGTCGCCAACCAGCAGCCCAGGCTGCCCAGAGCCACATCCAGCCTGGCCTTGGATGCCTGCAGGGATGGGGCATCTGGAATTCTGTGCAGTAAACACTCTGCTTAGAAATGTTAGGATGTATTTTAAAGTCTGCCTGTGTAGGGCTCTTACCCATCTCTCCCAACGCTTCAGGAATACATGCAGTTCCGTACAGTTGGTACCAAGACCAAGATCTGCAAGCTGACACTCCGCTGGCCCTGTCCAATGACTTTTGCAGCCAAGGGCCGTCGTAAGGTGGAGGCAGAAAACAAAGCAGCAGCATTAGCCTGTCAGAAGCTGAAGGTAAGCACACGGCTCCCACGTCCCTCCTGTCACACAGAGATGCTCCTTGCACCTGACTCACCATATTTGAGCCTAATGTGGTGGCGTTTGAAACTTCCATCTCTCTGATTTCATACTCAGTAAACCTATATTTCCAAACCTTTGGAATTGATCTCAATTGCTATTGTACCCCCTTTGGTATCACAGGTACCCATGGCTGTTTTGAGCTCTCAACAAAGTGACGTGTAGGATTACTCTTGAAGAGTTGTTCTCTTGGACACCTCAGTGATGTCTGCTAGGACAGACTGTATTCCTGTTCTCATAGATGAGCTCATCTGGCAATATGGCTCTATTACGTTTCTCTGCAGACTCTAAAGCCGTCAGAGGAAGTCCATGAAAACGGCATAAGGCTTAGTACTGAGTTGTCACAACATACCAGGACTGCAGCAAGAGAGTTAATACCCCATGTCAGGAGGGTTTTGTCACATACAGTTGTGGCTGTGGTTTCTTTGACGGGTCTTATTGAGACCTTGTGAACACTGTGCTGAGGGACTGAAGCCTTTTGCTTCCACGTGTCCATTTCTGCAATAGGAACATGTCCTGTTCCTTGCCATGGTAAAAGCAGGACATGAAGGGTTGGGGCTGTGGGGTGAGCAGTCGGCCCATCAGAACCTGCTGGACCCATCTCTGCTGTCATGTGCTGTGCAGCAGTCTTGTCTGATGTTCTTCTTTGCTTTTGTCCTTCTCAGAGCCTTGGCTTAGTGGACAAGAACAACAACCCACTCAGCCATGCTATGTATAATATGACTTCCCTCCGGGAGCTTGGTGAGAACCAGAGGAAGCCGTGCCACATCAAAGTCCCTGAAGCAACCCTGCGCAAGATTGAGAACTATCTGAATCATGTAAGGCTCAGAACCACCTTTGGTTTGTCACCTTTAACTTTAGAAATTGTACACTGGCTGGGAACTCTATGTCATAGTGTTGGGGGAGTTTATGGCTCATTGTTTTGCCACAAAACTGACCAGTCTGTGATGAGCCTTGGGAAAAGGAGACCCTTTATGTGCATTGGGCCTTCTCTGGATTCTTTGTTACAAGCAGATCTTGCTTCCCTAAAACTGCTTCTGCTTTGTTCCTTTACAAGGGCCAGCTGCTGGTAAATTTGCACATCTGCTTTGGCAGTGTCTCTTCTAGCATATGTAATTTAGGGGTGGGTGCAAATCCCCCAGCACCTGCCCATGCTCACCCAGGAGATCCCTCTCCCTGGTGTGAGGCTGTAGGAGCTGAAGCAGTGTTCCCTGGGGACAGGGTTCCCTGGGAGCATTCATTGTCAAAGCAGGAGTTAGTGCTGAGGTTAGATGAGGGTGAATGTACCGCAGGTGTGAATGTCTGCAGCCATCTGAAGTCATTGGAAATAGTGCCCATGTTTGGAAGGTGACAGGTAGTCACTGTGCCACACTGATGCACTTTGGAGCTGAACGATGGAGATCTCTGGGGATGTTTACAGTTTTTGCAGGTACCATAAATGAAGCAGTGGTGAGTATGTTAGGAAGCCAAGCCTGTGCCTAAGGCAGCAGCTGTTTCTCAATGAGCTGTTCTAAGTGGCTGAATCAAGGGTTGGAAAAGTTAGAAAAACAGCAACATCTTGTAAGTGCTTGGTCTGCCTCCATGTATACGTGCCATGAGCTGTCACAGTGCACGCAAGGCTTGCTTTTGTGACTCTGAAGAAGCCTGAATCCAGAATACTAATCTGCAGCTGGGCCTTTAATCCTCCGAACATCTGGGTCTATGGTTTGGGTTGTGTTCCTGTCAGTTCCTGACCCATTGTTGCTCCTTTGAGTTATTCCTATGGGATGTTTGGCTTTTTTTTTTTTTTTAATTTAACCAGGATTGAATATTTCTGGCTTAGCTAAACACTTAAGTTTTGTTCAAGTTACCTGTCTGGACTTCTTAAGCATGAGGAGAGTGGTGATGCAATGTGATGGTATCAAACATTTGGTTTCTGGGGTGGATATATCACTTGCATATGCTGTAGACACTGAGTTTGAGAGTGTAAGGTACAGTTCTGTGTCTTCAGTTCACACATTGGTGTTACTTTTTCTGTCAGGACAGATCATAGAATCACAGAATGGCCAGGGTTGCAAAGGAGCACAATGCTCATCCACTTCCAACCCCCTGCTGTGTGCAGGTCGCCAACCAGCAGCCCAGGCTGCCCAGAGCCACATCCAGCCTGGCCTTGAATGCCTGCAGGGATGGGGCATCCACAGCCTCCTTGGGCAACCTGTTCCAGTGCCTCACCACCCTCTGGGTGAAAAACTTCCTCCTAATGTCTGACCTGGACTTTAGGAGATACAATAAGGAAATTGGAGGGAGCTGCTCAAGTTGCAGTCTGAGTTGAGGTTATTTAAAGTGAGAATTAGAAGGCTGAGTTACCCGAAGTCTGAAGAGATTTGAATGTAGCTTTTTGGTCGCTGCAAAACCCATCTGACTGAGTCCATTTGGGCACTTATTTCTTTTTTTCCTTCTGATGACTGTTACCAAACTCCCTGTCCCTCACAACTTCCTCTGTCTCTCCCAGTATCCAGTGGACATCAGGGAGTCCAGGCCCCGGATTGCTGATGACATGATGAACCTGAGCAAGGAGTCCGGCGCCATCAGCGATGCGATCACGGGGAAGACGTACATCCCTATGCTGGAAGCAGAGGAAGTGCGCCTCAGTCAGAACCTGCTGGCCCTCTGGAAAAGGAGAGGATCCTCGTGGCAGGAGAGCCACCCGCTGCCTGTGGATCCTCACAAGGACACCATCCTCTCAGCCATTGAGCAGAACCCTGTGGTCGTGATAGCAGGAGATACGGGCTGTGGGAAAACCACGAGGATCCCTCAGCTCCTGCTGGAACATTACATCCTGGAGGGGCGCGGTGCCCGCTGCAACGTCGTCATCACCCAGCCGAGGAGGATCAGCGCCATCTCGGTGGCCCAGCGTGTGGCACAAGAGTTGGGTCCCAACATGAGGAAGAACGTGGGCTACCAGGTGCGGCTGGAGAGCAAACCTCCAGCCCGGGGAGGAGCCCTGCTCTTCTGCACCGTGGGCATCCTGCTGCGTAAGCTGCAGGGAAACCCCAGTCTGGAGGGTGTCAGCCACGTCGTGGTCGATGAGGTCCACGAACGAGATGTCAACACGGATTTCCTGCTCATCCTGCTCAAAGGCATCCAGAAGCTCAACCCCGACCTGCGCCTGGTCCTGATGAGCGCCACAGGAGACAATCAGCGTTTCTCACATTACTTTGGGGATTGCCCTGTGGTCAAGGTGCCTGGTTTCATGTACCCAGTGAAGGAGTACTACCTGGAGGAGATCCTGGCCAAGCTGGGTAGGCACCGACACCGGCACTATGAGATAAAGGTGGGTGTGCAGCATGGTGTTGGAGCTGTTCCCCCTGGACGAGGGACTGGCTTCTGGCATATCAGCAGGGGGAGAGTTTGGGCCTGGAACTGCTCCCTCTTTCCTGTTGTTCGTTAGCAGTGTTTGCTTAGCTTTCAATCCAAGTCAACGCTCATGAGCTAAATTTGGCTTAGCAGTATCCTTTGTATTTTAGTTAAGTTTTGGGTAAAGGCAGCTTCATGTTTGGGTTTAAGTTGCTTTTTTCCCCTCTTCAGCATGAAATGTATTTATGTTTGAGTAAGCTAACAGCTCAGTGTGCTTGTGTGTATGCAGCGTGAAAGTCAAGATTCAGATGGTTGTGCCTTGGAGCAGTCTTGTTACCCAGGCACTCATCATCTTGCATGACTCGATTCCTTCATGGCTACTTTTTGCAACTAGTCCACATTGTTCTTCTGGAGAGTGCCTCCAAGTGCACACTGTGGGTAATCTCACTTCAGTGGCGGGTCATGGAATCACACAGTGCTTGAGATTGGAAGATCTGCAGGTTCATCCAGGCCAGCCCCCATGCTCAGAGCATGGTCAGCCCAAGCAGGCTGCTCAGGAGGAGGTTTTGAGTATCTCCAAGGGTAGATATTTTGCAGCTTCTCCAGTGTTCAATCTCTCCCTGAGAAAAGATGGGTTTTTCATCTTCATGGCCCATCATCTTCCCTGGACTCACTCTGGTAGCTCCATGGCTCTGCTTCGTGGGGGAGCCCAGACCTGGCTGCAGTGTGTGCTCACCAGAGCTGAGCAGAGGAGCAGGATCACCTCTGTCAACCTGCTGGCAGTGTTTGGTGCAGCCTGGGAAGATGGAGCTCATTCTGGCTTGTGTTCAGTTTGGTGTCCATCAAGATTCTAAGTAGCTTTCCAGCTGGTCAGCCCTCAGCCTGTTCTGGCACATGGGGAGTTTGCTCCTGAGACTGGAGACTTTGCCTTTCTTCTTTCTGAACCACACGAGGTTTCTGTCAGCCTGTGGAAGTTCCTTTCTGTGTCTGAGCAACCATCTGGTGTATCAGCCACATTTCCTAGCTTTGTATCAATGGCAGATTTGCTGAGGGTGTCCTGTTGCATTCAGGGCCACCTTCCTGTTTCTGTTGTGGTTGGGTTTTTTACCCTGCTCCTTTTACGCTGGCCTGACACACTTGTTCCAAATTGCTGAGACATAAAAGCTGCTGTTCTGTGCCCGTGTGGATGTGAAGGCCTGGGCTACACATGGCATAGTTCTGTCCCCTGAAACTTCCTTTAACTGTTGCTATTTATGAGGTGCTATTCAGTAGAGGTTCCCAGGTGTCAGCTAGCTTTCAAGACTGGAGAACAGGAAAGAAACTGCATATTCACAACACAGCAGAGGAAGCTGGCAGTGGCTGTGACTGGAGCTAGTGCCAGATGGAGCCAGAGCTGGCTCCTGAGGTTCCTGGTCCTGGGGAAGCCATCCAGCTACAGACACTCACTCTCTCCAGAAGATGTTTTGGGAATCTGTGCACCTTTCTGCTAGATCACTACTTATTCCTCTGCACGTGTCCTCCTGGGATCACAGAGTATCCAGAATTGGAAGAACCTGTACTGATCGTTCAGTCCAAATCCTGTCTCCACACTGGGCAACCTAAGAGTTGAACTGTAGGTGTGAGAGTGTTGTCCGAATGCTTCTTGAACACCCAACAAACTTAAGGCTGTGACCACTTCCCTGGGCAGCCTGTCCCAGTGCCTGACCATCTCTTCAGTGAAGAATTCTTTTTTAATATCCATCTTGATCCTTGCCTGACACGGTTGGGAGCCATTCCCTTGCATTCTGCCACCAATGATCTGCACCTCCTCTGCTCCCCATCATGAGGAAGCTGCAGACAGCAATGAGGTCATCCCTCAATCTCTAAGTGGAGCAAACCAAGCATCTTCAGCTGCTCCTCATAGATTGTGCCCTCTAACCCTTTCACTCTTTGTTGCCTTGCTTTGCACACATTCTGATATTTTTTATATCATTTATATTGCGGATCCCAAAATACTGCATACAGTACTTGAGGTGAAGCCACAGCAGTGCTGAGTACAGAGTACACCATCACTTCTTTCATCCAGTGAGCTAAACTGTGCTTGATGCACCCCAGGACACTCCTGCCCCTTTGGGCTGCTCAGGCACGTTGTTGACTCCTATTGAGCTTACTGTTAAGCAGAACCCCTCGATCCCTTCTGTGGGGCTGCACTCCAGCCACTTGTCCCCAGCCTCTGTGTACATCCAGGATTTCACCATCCCTGCTGCAGAATTTGGTGTTTGCTCTCAGTTAATTTCACATGGCTGGTGATTGCCCAGCACTCTACCAAGACTGCTCTGCAAGGCCTCTTCACACTCAAGGGAAGCAGTGGCTCTTCCCAGTTTAGTATCATCCAGAAATTTATTCAGTGCACTCAACTCTTGTGTCCAGGTCATTGATTGAAGTACTGAAGAGAACTGGCCCTAAAATGAAGCCCTGCAGAACCTGGCTGCTGGCCACGGGCCCGATGCTGCTGTGTGCCCTGGAACCCTTTGAGCCTGGCCCATCAGCCAGTCCTCACCATTATGCTGTGTGTGTCTGGCTGTGTGCTGGACACTTTGTCTAGAAGAATACTGTGAGATTAGCAAAAGCTTTGCCAGAATCCCCGTAGCCCATACCTAGTGGGTGAAAAGAAGGGAGTGGAACCTTGTCATAAAAGGGTATAAAGCTAGTAGGGCATGGCTGGTCTATTGTGAACCCATGTTGGTTCTGACTGATGGCATCTTGCAAGTATTTTTTCAGTAACTTTAGAACAGTCTTCAGAAGTTGGGCAGGTACTGATTACCACCATCATCTTTCTTGCCCTTTTTGAAGATTAGAATAATGTGAGCAAGCTTCCAGTTGACCAGAACTGACCAAACTCAGTTATCTGCTGACAGCCTTAAGAAGGGTCTTTCAAAACCCTGGGATGAATCCCATTGGAGTCCATAGACTTGTGTGCACTCAGTTGCAGCAGTAAATCAAGTCAGCTGGGAGCTTATCACTCCCAGGTGTGGTGCTCCAACCCAGGGTTGGTGTTAAGGTGGAGGTGAAGAAGCCATTAGATGTCTGCTTTATCTTATCCCTGTTTGGAGATGGCCAACTTTATCAAGTAAAAACCAACCAAACAAAAAAATGCACCACTTTTTAATTATCCATCACAACATGCCAGCTTCAGTTCTGAGCTTTGGCCACGTGAATTTCTCCCTGTGAAGGCTGAGGGCATCTCTGTAGTCCTTCTGTATAGCCTGACCTTGCTTCCAAGCCTGTGTGCTTTGCTTTTCTGCCTGAGTTCTAGGAGGAGTTCCCTCTTCAGCCAGACTGCCTTCTGCCTGCTTGCTTGGCTTCCAACATGCTGGAATTGCCCATTCCTACACTCTTAAGATGGAGTGGCTCTTCAAATGTCTCCACCAGTGGTAGACCCCCATCCCCATTACTAACCAGTTCCTTGAGCAGCCTGCTCTCCTACAATCCATGGTAGTAGCTCTGCTGCCTGTCTTCTCCATGTCACCAAAGATTTTCAGCTCAATGATTGCATTGTGGTTGAGGCAGCCACCACTCATCACTTCACCCATGAAACCTTCTCTATTTACAAACAGCAGAACTGGGATGGCACTCTTCCTGTCAGCTCCCTTAGTACCTGTATCAAAACGTTACCTTGCTGTGCTTACTGTTTTATCCAGCAATCAGATGATGAATGTGTCCTTGATCTTGATCTGATCACCGACCTTGTACTCCAGATTGACGCCCATGGAGAACCAGGTAGGTTCTGCTTTGCCCTCTTCCCTTTTACTTTTTCTGGGGGAAAAAAAAGAAATAGTATCCACAGAGCCCAGACCCCTGGCAGAGAAAATACTGTGCTGAGTTCTGTGAGACCACCCTGAGTTCCTGCTGCAGTGAGTGGTGTGAGGCAGCGTGATGTGACCTCACTCTGAGTCTCTAACTGAGCCAAGATCTGAGTCCTCCATGCCTCAGCCAGAGGAAGTGAGTAGTGCTCAGAGCAGTCACTCACATTTATTTCTGGAGTCCAGAAAGATACCTGGAAGCTGGGTTGGATGCTGATCCTGTCTGGTGTCTCAGTCATTGTGTCCTGAGGTACAGCAGTTGCTGGGCTGACGTGCTGGACTCATTTGTGCACCAACCTGTGCTGCACTATTTGGTTCCATTCCTGTACTGCAGACCCATCCCCGCTAAGTGCTGTTCCCTAGGAGGTGATGGTGTTGTGAAGAAGGCAATGTTCTAAGATTACTTCTTAGGACTTTCAGTGTTTGAAAGCTGATAGAAGGTATTCGCTCTCAGAATGCAGCTAGCCTTGTTCCTTTTTGGTTTTAAACTCTGTCCTAATGAGATCAGAGAATTGGATGCAGCAGGTGCTGGGATGGTCTGCCCTTAACGGCTGTCTGTCATTTGTTCAGAAGTATGATGGCAGTTTCTTTAGTGATCAGCTGGCAGTGGGCATCACAGCCCTGGGCCCTGCTTTGCAGGTTTCTTAGACTGAGGGGAAGTAATGGGCATGTTCTGTCTGTGCAGCAGAAGCAGTTTCTGTGTCCCCAGCTGGGGAGGGATGTTTGGATTCCTACATCACGTGTTCTTGCTCTGTTACAGGTGGGATCCTCTGCTTCCTGCCCGGGTGGCAGGAAATCAAAGGGGTGCAGCAGCGCCTGCTGGAGATGTTGGGCTCTCAGAACAGCCGGTACCTCGTCCTGCCAGGTGAGATGGGCCAGGCTTCTCCCAGCAGCCAGGAGGAGGGGCCAGCTGACTGCAAGAACCCCTTCAGCGATTGCACACAGATACAGAGCGAGACTTTGTGCTCTGATGTATGTAGAAGTGTGTGTAAAGCACAGATAACTCCTAGCAGAGGCTGGCCAAACCTGTGTGTGATCAGATAAGCTGGCTTCCTGTCTGCCTCCAGCAGTGCAGAGTTAGGTGAGGAGGAGACCGATGCATTCTGTGTCACTGAGCTGCATGCTGAGCCTTGATAGAAGAGCTCTTCAAGACTGTTTTGTGGGATGTCTGTTGCTAACCTTCTGTTTATGAATGTAATGTTCTGTATCCCAGGAGGGAAACCTAAAACAAGTCAGTATTTTCCTGCAAAGCTTGAAAGATTTTTGTTCTGTTTTGGATTTCTTGCTTTAACAGTCTTCTGTATTTAGTGTCAGATAGGTCAGAGGGGTGCATCTCTGAACAGCTCAGTTGCTAATTAATGCAGATGTTCTGACAGAACTGCACATTCCTGTGCTTCCCTGCTGCTTCGTGCAGTTGCTGGAAATCTCTCTGTCACTTATTTGTAGTATGGAAAATAGGTATAAAAATGTTACAGGCTCCTGTCAGTATGCATTTCTGATGAAGTTAAACCAGGCAACAGTGGGGCTATCCATCTCCTGCCTCACAGACCTTCTGAAAAGGGGAAGCTGAAGAACTGGACTGGGGAATGGGATGGGATGATGTTCTGGTGGTGCCAGTCACCTCATCCTTGTGCAGCAAAGCAGCTCAGCTGGGCAGGGCTGACTCTGTTTTTCTCTGCCAGTGCACTCCAACATCCCCATGATGGACCAACAGAACATCTTTCAGCGGCCTCCACCTGGTGTCAGGAAGATTGTCCTGGCCACCAACATCGCTGAGACCTCCATCACCATCAACGACATCGTCCACGTGGTGGACAGCGGCACGCACAAGGAGGAACGCTATGATCTGAAGACCAAGGTACAGCTACAGGGCCGTGTGGGGAGCACTGAGCTTTGGAAACCAGGCAGGTGTCCAGCAGATGGCATCCTGATGCCATCCATGTGCTGAGTGCCTCAGGCCTCTGCACTGCTGCTCACCAGAGACTGGCAGCGCAAGGATGCAGGAGGATGATACGGCTTCTCCTGCCCCTTAGTGGGATGGTCAATCAGTTGTGAGGAGTTTCCAAGGTCTGCAGAGCATATGGCAGGCTCTGTTTATACCAGGCAGACAGCTGCAGGATCATTCACACCTAATCCTCCTTCTTCCAGGTGTCTTGCCTGGAAACAGTGTGGGTGTCCAAATCGAACGTCGTGCAGCGGCGAGGGCGCGCTGGCCGCTGCCAGTCGGGGTTTGCCTACCACCTCTTCCCTCGCAGCCGCCTGGACAAGATGCCAACCTACCAGGTTCCAGAGATCCTGCGCACCCCGCTGGAGAACCTGGTGGTTCAGGCCAAGATCCACATGCCAGAGAAAACAGTAAGCACCCAAGTGAACCAGGATGCGGTGTGCCAGGGGCCGGCTCCAGAGATGAGCTCCTACCTCAGTCCACGATGTTGATGGCTCTAGTTCTTGCTTCCCCAAATGCACTGCTATCTAGAGAAGTTAAGACCAGAAAATACAGAGATTATTTTGATTACAGAGTGTGTCTAGAGCTAGACTCTGTGCGTGAGTGGAGTGGACTGTGCTCATGTTCCTGTAGGGGAAACAAGGAGAGGAACTCAGGGCCCTGGGGCAGAGTAGTGGGCTCATGGAGGCTTTCCCATGTGCTGGGAATAATGCCTTTTGTTTTCCCTGTGTATTGTAGGCAGTTGAATTTCTCTCCAAGGCTCTGGACAGCCCTGACATCAAAGCTGTGGATGAAGCAGTGATTTTGCTGCAGGAAATTGGTGAGCTAATGCAATGTCCTGGTGTGGGCGTGATGGGAACGTGTTTGCTGTCTGAATGTGGGAAGTGAGAGCTGGCACAGGATCCTGGGGACAGACTGGGCAGGGTTGTCCCCAGATAGGGATGACAACTTGCACACATTGTAGTGTGGTTCATTTCCTGCACTGCTTTGCTCAAAGAGAGGGGAGATTTTTACTCAGAAGTTGGTGAGGTGCCAGCACTGCCCCAAGCTGTGGTGCCCACCCTTGGAGGTTCCTGAGGCTGTGTCTGGGCCCTGGGCAGCCTAAGCTGGGGAGCAGCCAGCCCATGGCAGGGGTTGGGCCTGGGGAGATTTTGGGGTCCTTTCCAACCCCAACCATTCTGAGATTCCATGACCCCTGTGCTGTGTGCTTTATCTGGGGTCACACCAAATAATCCAAGCCTGGTAAGATCCTCCTGGCAGGTCCCCAAAGCAGCTGGCTGCCACTTGTCTCCTGCTTGGAGCTGCTGCTTACGCCCTCGCGTGTGGCTCTGTTGCAGGGGTGCTGGACCAGCGAGAAGCCCTCACCACTTTGGGCAAACGCCTTGCCCAGATCTCCACAGACCCTCGGCTGGCAAAGGCCATCGTCCTGGCATCCATCTACCGCTGCCTCCACCCGCTGCTCGTCATCGTTTCCTGCCTCACCCGGGACCCCTTCAGCAGCAGCCTGCAGAACCGTGCGGAGGTGGACAAGGTGAGGAGACCTCCTGGAGGAGGGTGGGAAGCGGGCAGGAGAGGGGCTGTCACCTGGCTGACGTTGTGTCCCTCTGCCAGGCCAAGGCAGTTCTGAGCCGGGAGAGCGGGAGCGATCACCTCGCCTTTGTCAGAGCTGTGGCAGGCTGGGAGGAGGTGCTGAGACGCAGAGACAGTCGTGCCAGGGACAACTACCTGCAGGACTACTACCTGTATGGCCCCAGCCTTCGCTTCATCAACGGTGAGTCCCACAGGCCTGCTTCTCATCCTGTCCCCTGAAGAGACTGAAGCACTGCTCCTGTTTAATTCCTCACTGGGCCCTGCACTGTCAGAAGGACATGGGAGACCAGGAGTGTGTCCAGAGAGGGGCAGCAGAGCTGTGGGGGTCTGGAGCCACAGTGCTATGGGGAGTGGCCGAGGGAGTGGGATGGGTCAGTCTGGAGCAGAGGAGGCTTAGGGGAGACTTCACTGTTCCCTACAGCTCCTGAAAGGTTGAAGTGAGGTGGGTTTGGCCTCTGCTCCTAAAAGCAATAGTATGAGAGGTGACAGCCTCAAGTTGCAACAGGGGGAGGTTTAGGTTGGATATTAGGAACAACTCCTACTCCCTAAGAGTGGTTGGACACTGGCATGATTGCCCAGGGGGCTGGGGGGTTTACCAGTCCTGGGGGTGTCCAGAACTGTGGAAATGTGACCCTCAGGGCCATGGTCAGTGGGCAGGGTGAGGGTCGGCTTGGGCCTGGGGGTCTCAGAGGGTTTTTCCAACCTGAATGATTCTATGAAAAGCAGAGCGCAGAAATGAGATAGGCCTGCAGGTGAATCCTCCTTTGGAATTCAGGAGTGCAGAGGCAGCCCTGGCTGCAGGAGGCCACAAGCAGGAAAGTCTGTTCTGGTGCCAAGGCAGAGCCTCCAAGCCAAGCAGGAGCTGGAGCTGGTGCTGCCCTGCTGGGGTCGTTTCATTGCTGGTGGGAGAACAGAGGGTGATTCAGCGGTGCCATCTGTTCCCCACAGGCCTTGTCAAGCAGTTCTCAGAGAACCTCTACGAAGCCTTCCTGGTGTCCTCCCCATCTGACTGCACCATGCCTTCATCTGTATGTAACCAGTACAGTGAAGAGGAGGAACTGGTCAAGGGAGTCCTCATGGCCGGACTCTACCCCAACCTCATCCAGGTACAGGCTCCCCACCCTGCAGTCACCATGCTGGGTGTGCTGGATCCTCCTTGTGAGGAACAGGCTGCACCACTCCCTGCTCAGTTCTTGTAGGATGGCTGGGAGCCATCCAGGTGGGATCTTTCTCCAGGACACAGCTGTGGGGAGGCTGCTTGTGGGCAGTGCCTGAGGTGTTCCTCTCGTGCAGGTGAGACAAGGCAAGGTGACCCGCCAAGGGAAGTTCAAGCCCAACAGCTACGCGTACCGGACAAAGGCTGGCACTGTTCTGCTTCACAAGTCAACCATCAACAGGTGAGCGACCCACGTGTGTGAACGTGACAGCCCAAAGCCTCAGGGCTCTGCTGCATCAGGCAATGGCTGACAGGGTTCCCCCGCGCAGGGAGGCCTCCAAGCTGTACAGTCGCTGGCTGACGTATTTCATGGCGGTGAAGTCCAACGGAGGGGTGTTTGTGCGGGACTCCTCCCAGGTCCACCCGCTGGCTGTGCTGCTCATGACTGACACGGACATCCACGTCCGAGGTGAGTGTGCAGGGCCGAGGGGCAGCCTGGGGTGAGCCTTGGGGGAGTGATTTGCTGGGCTGGGCTCTGCTTGGCTCTTGTGAGGCCCCGTCTGCAGTACTGCATCTGGGTCTGGGGTCCCCAACACAAAAAAGGCACAGAGCTCTTGGAGCGGGTCCAGAGGAGGCCACTAAGATCAGAGGGCTGCAGCACCTCTCCTGTGAGGAAAGGTTGAGGGAATGGGGCTTGTTTGGCTTGGAGAAGAGAAGGCTCCAGGGAGACCTCATTGTGGCCTTCAGTACTTGAAGGAAGTGTATGAACAGGAGGGGGAACGGCTGTTTGTGAGGGTGGATGGTGATAGGACAAGGGGGAATGGCTTTAAAGTGAGACAAGGGAAATTTGGGTTAGATATTAGGAAGAAGTTTTTGAGCCAGAGGGTGGTGAGGCACTGGAACAGGTTGCCCAAGGAGGCTGTGGATGCCCCATCCCTGCAGGCATCCAAGGCCAGGCTGGATGTGGCTCTGGGCAGCCTGGGCTGCTGGTTGGTGACCTGCACATAGCAGGGGGTTGGAACTGGATCAGCACTGTGGGCCTTTGCAGCCCTGGCCATTCTGTGGTTCTGTGATTCCTGCTCTGTGTGCTGCTTTAGCCCCTGCACTTGGATGCTGCTGCTGTTGGGCTCCAGCCCAGTGGTGCAGACAGGCTGGAGCTCTGCCTTGTGCTCGTGGGGTTGGTTTGGCCAGTAGAGAGCCCAGGGAGCACTGCAGTGCCTGTGGTGCCCCTGGCAGTGGCGGAGCAGCAGCTGCACACCGTTCTCACTCCTCACCCGCTCTCTTCTCCCCACCAAGACGATGGCTGGCGAGCGACCGTCTCCCTGACGGACAGCGACCTCCTGGTGCTGGAGGGAGACTCGTACACCATCCGCCTGCTGCGCGACTTCCGCGTCTCGCTCTCCAAGATGGTGGAGACGTGTCTGTGCTACGAGATGGCGGCCATCCCCGGCGACCTGCACCACCAGCACAGCCAGCTGCTCGACATCCTGGTGGATCTGCTCAAAGGCCCTCCCGGCAGCTTCGGCGCCTGAGGCGGAGCCGGAGGATTTTGTGGGGACTTGTAATTTGTATAAAGATGTTCACAAATGTTTATTTAAATAAAAGTTCTATTTATCCCTTGTGAAGTCATCTCTCTCCATCCTAGAAGATTAATGTTGTCTGATCTCCTGCTGTCGGCTCCGTGCATGGTCACCAGGAGGAACAACCGGCACAGCACCGCCCGCCGCGGACTGGAAGCGCCGATGGAACCGTTGGGCGAAGCTCACCCTGAACTGGACCACAAGGATGCGGCTGTGCCGTCCTCTGCCCATCCCCACAGGGCCGGGAGGGAGCAGCGCTGGGGCAGAGCTGAGCTTCTCCAGTTCTGGAGGGCGGATCTCAGCCGTCGGATGCAGCAGCAGCAGCAGCACAGCTCCATGGCTCCGGTGCAGGCAGCAGCCCCAGCCCGGCACAGGGGAGGAAGGCCCGGAGGCGACGCTCGGCACGGGATCGCTGAAGCCGTGGGATCCGTGGTGCCTTGGCACCCTGTGAGATGTGACTCGTTGTTCCCGATCTGCCTGTACTTTTTGTCTCTTGCATTGTTCTTATGATTTTGTATGATTTCTCGTCCTCCCCACGTCGAGGAGGTCGGATCCCTGTCCTTGTGCACCACAGGACACCACTGTAGCTGTCAGTGTGCCTGCGAGCGCGGCTCCTGCAGGCGGCCAGGAGCACTGGGCACAGAGCCTTTGTTTTCTACGAGCGGGGACCACGTTTGTGCAGGAGGAGGACTGGGACGGGCACAGCAGTGAAGGAGCTCTGGAGTTCAATCCCAGCTTTGCCACGCATTCCCTGTCGGTGTCACCTACCTCACAGGGCTGTTGTGAGGCTTCGTTCCGTTCGGCCCCTGTGGGCGCTGGGCTGCAGGCAGTGCTGGGGGTGACGCTGAGGGCCCACACCTTTGTTTTTATTCACCATTTCTTACGCTCTTTGTACCTGAAGTCAGCGCCGGGGCCCCTTTTTGTTCTGCACTGCGATTTCATTTCCTCCTCACGGCCTTTCAGGAGCGGAGCTGCAGCCCTGGCCGTGCGAACTGATGGGCGGTGATGGGCGCAGCGTGCGGAACTCATTCATTTCACTTGCTTGAGGTTGTCACTCTGATTTGAGCAGTGTTCGTTTCTTTCAGCCTGTATAAGGGGCAGTATGGGTTTGGTTTTTTTTTGTTTTTTTTTTTTTTCCCTTCCAGCAGGTTTAAGAAAAAAAAAAGACTAAGCTATTGTCTAAATGGTTCAGAACTAGTGTGATATTGGGATACTTCAGTGGCTGTTATGTGATACTGGATCTTTTTACAACATAGATTAAAGACAATAAAAAGGGATAGAGTAGTAACAGCCTCTGTCCTCGTCCTTCTGTTCACTGGGAGTGGGGCTGTGCGTGGTGTCCCTCGGTGTAGGGTTGGGGGGCTGTGTGTTCTCCATTGTAGCCTATGGGGCAAAGGGTTGTAGGTGAAGCCCCCCAAGAGCCCCCAGCTGCCTCCCCCCCACAGACAACACAGCCAAGCTGAGGGCAACATCGAGAAGCTTTATTTATTTCAACTCGTTTACAATAGGAAGAAGAATCACAACATCAAATCAGGAAATGGTGCTCAGGAGACAGACACACACAGCCCTGCGTGGGGACAGAGCAGCTCTGCCCCACTGCCCCCAGGGGGGACCCCAACCCTCTGCCCCCACTGCTGCGCAGCTCCGACCCTGGAGCTGCAGCACAACCTCCCTACAGCACAAAATAATGAGAACACATCACAAGTAGCCAACACTCCCCGCACTCCTCACAGTGAGGTACGCATCGTCCCCCCCACGGGTGGGGAAACTGAGGCAGAGGGGTTCTATGACTGCCCAGGGCTGGGAGCCTGGTGCTGTGCTCACCCCACATGGGGCTGAATGCGTCCCCGGCGCCGTCTGCACGCACTGCCCCCCATCCTGCCCCACGTCCCGGGGTGACGGAGCGATGCTGAGCGCTCGGGAGGTGCGGGAGGAGCCCCGTGTCTGATGGATCCCAGACACCAGCTGGTGGCCAGCGAGGCTCTGTGTGCAGGGATGGCACGGGCAGCGCCGCAGGGAAGCCGGGTGGGGATGGGGTGAAGGACGGAGCGCTCCTCCGCTGTGCCCTGGGCTTTGTGCCCAGACCCGGGGGCTGCTGCTGAGAAATTCTGCCCAAATGCCACCACTGAGAGCCAGGGGGGAGCCCAGGGGCAGCAGAGCGCGCTACATTCAGTCCGCAGCCGGGACGGTAGACTGCTTGTACAGTAGAAAAAGGCCCATAGTAACCACACCGGCAATGACACAGCAGCCCCCGGGGGCCAACAGCCACTTGGCCACTCCGAGCCCCTCCGCGCTCCCAGCCCAGGGCACAGCAGGGCAGGGCATCCCTGCGCTCAGCATCTCACAGCCAGCACTGCGCTGTGCCATCGCTGCAGCCAATGCTGGGCCCCACGCTCAGCACCGCGCGGCCGTACATTCACGTTGCATCAAAGTCGAACCACAACTTAATTAAAAATAATCAATATTGGTTTTTTTGCCTCCCAAAAGACTTTTAGTTCCTGGAGCCCTCGGGCGGCCCCAGGCACCGCTCCCTGTCCTGCTCTGCCCCCAGCAACTCTACTGCAGCCTCCATGCACGGCCAAAACCCAACGCACTGCATGCAGCTGCCTCCCGACACCAGCACTGCCCCGAGCAGCACTGCGGCCGTGCCAGTGACCACACCGACCCACAGCACCGCATCAGTTCAGCAGTGACACGTGGGCACAACGCGGGTTGGGGTTGGGCCACCCAGCGCGGTCCAAAGATAAAGTGCAGCGTTGCCATTGCTTTCCTACGGCGGTGCTGGAGCTGAGCGGGGCCACGTCTGCCTCTTTGGGGACCCAGAGCAGCACCGGCCCCACACGCGCTCCGGTCCAGCTCTGGGAGGAGAAGCGGAGGGGCTGAGCTGCCCTGAGCCCCCTCCTTCCAACAGCCCTATTCCAAAAGTGCTGGAAAAACTAAAAAATAGAAATAAAAATACGGATCGACAGATTGCAGAGATGGAGCTCTGGTGGTCAGAATTTAGTAATGGAAAGAAGGAAGCGTCAGCGGAGGGGCAGTGATATATACTGGGGGATGTGCAGGAGGCAGGGCGTGGGAGCGGGGCAGGAGGACCTCTGTGGAGCTGGGGGGGCACAGGGGGGAGGTGGTGAGGAGGGGAAGGAGGAGGAAGAGGAGGAGGAGGAGGAGGAGGAGGAAGGCAGCAGGGCTGTGGGTATATATAACCGCCCCGCTTAGGTGCAAATCTGCATTGCTTGTTTCAATTTGTATCCAGAGGAAAAAAGCACTTATGAAACTAGCAGACGACTTGGATGCAAACTAGTACATTTTAATGCCATTTTATTAGAAATCATGCAAACTTTAATATAAAAAATACAAGTGCAATAAGAATCTTTGTGTGTAAATACAGATTCCGGGTTATCGTGTCGTTGTCGGCTTCCCCAAGAACCGTTCCCACAAAGCATGAGAAGCCATCAGCTTCCCTCCGCCCCTCCGCGCAGCCCCCGGCAGCGCCTGCTCCCATTGACTTTGATCCCAGTGTTTCGTTATTCCGCTTTTTTTTTCTCTTTTTTTTCTTTTTTTTTTTTCCTTTAAATTACTTTGACGACCCAAGAACACTTTTCTGGTTTATTATTATTTTTTTTTCTTTTTTTATTTACATTTCATCTTTTTTAGTGTCATTTGCAAACACGGAACGAGGAGCTCAGGCCTCACGCAGCAGCTCACCTCCCCGGCTCCACACCCACACACCCTCTGCACTTCCTGGCCCTACTCCAAGCCCTGCGCACCACGGGGTTTCCCAGAACCCACAGAGCTGCCCCAAAGCCATGGAGCCGTGTCCCAAACACGCGGAGCTGCCCCGAATCCACAGAGCTGCCCCAAAGCCATGGAGCTGCCCAGGAGCACGCAGAGCTGCATAGCCCGTGCTCAGCCTCCAGCCAGAATGAGCCCAAGTTGGGCTGTACCAACCAACAACTAACCAACAGCCAGCAACCAACCAACAGCCAGCAACCAACAACCAACCAACAGCCAACCTACAGCCAACAACCAGCCAAAATCCAACCAACAGCCAACCAACCACCAACAGCCAACCAACATCCAACCAAGAACCAGCCAACAGCCAACAACCAACCAACAGCCAACCAATAACCAACCAACAGCCAACCAACAGCCAACCAACAACCAACCAACAGCCAACCACCATCAATCAACAGCCAGCCAAAATCCAACCAACAGCCAACCCAACCTCGCCGCACACCGGGGCTGGCACCAACACAACGTGCCCAGCTGCAGCCAACACAGCTCTGCCTGAGCTGCTCAGCAAGAAGCTTTCCTTCAACACATCCCTACGCCTTTTGCTTTCAGACATGGCTTAATCCCATGAATTTGCTCCATCGTTTTTAAAATATTTAAAAAAAAAAAAGAAAACAAAACAACCAACAACAAAAGTTACGACTGCTGGATATGTCAGTAAGAAGCAGCACTGCAGCAGCGGTTAATGTCCCTACTCTGCTATGGTTAAGGAAAGAGGAAAGGAACCTCAGTGTGGGTTTGTAGCACGATAAATCATCAACACGTCGTCACAAAGAATAAAAGGTAAAAGTCAACAGTTAAAACAGCCCTAATGTGTGTGGTAACGGCGTCAATGGGGTCAGGGAATGAAGCAGCGAGGAGGAAAAGGGGGTTCTCTTAAAAAGAAAGAAATCACAGCTTATCCCTATTAACTCGGCCCGGCTTCGGCCGCCGCCGCCGCGCTCCCCCCGGGACAGCACAGCACTGACCCCAAACCCACAGAAGCCAAAGGATGGGGCCAGGTGCATCCCCGTCCCGCGTGAAGCCGGAGGCCGCGTGAAGAGAGCCAAGCTGCGTTACGGGGCGCGGGGACGGGGGGTCACAAGCCTTGCTGCGGGAGCGCTGCGGGGAGAGCCGGCGGCTGCGGCGGTGCCGGGGAGGCCGGGCTGTCGCTGGCAGAGGTGCTGCTGGGGAGGGTGGGGGGTTTGGAGGCGACGACGATGTCCGCTCCGTGGTCGGTGCGCGCCTTCGCCTTCTCACGGAACGTCAGCTTGTGGGATTCAATCTGCAGCGACAAAGGGCAGGGAGGGGGCGGGGAGGGATGGGGAGAGGAGAGAAGGGGGAGAAGGGGACGGGAGACGATAGCAGAATGTCATCGTTAGATGCCTGGAAGATAAAAGGCAATTTTCCGAGTTAAAACAACAGCAGAAACCCTACGGCCGTCGCTACAAACAGTTCCACGCTGGGAGGACAGCGGGGTGCGACCGGTGCTTCCCCCCCCCCGGCAGCGTGCAGAGAAGCGCGGGCACTTACTTGTTTCTTGTATCTGAGTCTCGAAGCTCTGAATTTCCCTTTGGTCACCACCGCTCAGGGCAGTGGGCACCGCCGGCCCTACGCCATTCTCCTGCAGGGCGCTGCCTGCCTGCGCCGCTCGCACCTCTCCGTTCTGAGGGGCTGGCGGGAGCTGCTCTGGCTCCGCGCTGCCCTCAGCCTACAAGGAGACAACAACGGGGTGGGGAGGACGACAGGAGCGGTCAATAGGGGACGGGGCGCCGGGGGGTGACGTCTGACCCCTCCGCCCTCCCCTGTGGGCTCAGGGCCCCTCGGAGCCGGGATGGAGGGCAGAGCTCCACGCGCCCACAGCTGAGTTGGATGAGTGCAGCTCCGTGGAGCCAACACCTCCCGCGGACTCACAGATGGTTTGAGTCGGAAGGGACCTTGAAGGCCATCTGACCCAACTCCCTGCAACCCATCGGGTGCTCACAGCCCATCCCCTGACCTCGGGTGCCCGCAATGAAGGGGCTTCCACCGGGTCTCTTGGATGCATTCCTACACCAGACCTAAAGGAAACGCAGCAGCCCAACCTGGATGGCCAAGCTTTGATGCTGGACTACGAGAACAGGAAGGCAGCCTTTAGAGAAGCCCCTGTCCTGCTCTGCCCCAAATCCCACCTGCAGACACCAGCTTCTGCTGCCGTCCAGTTCACAGCAGCTCTGCTCTTATGCTGCGCCCCTGCCCTATAAAGCCCCCTTCACGGGGAACAAGGACTGCTGCTGTACCTGCTTACTCAACTAAAGCACAGCCATGACCTTCTGTATCACAGAACCATGGGATGGTTGTGCTAGAAGGGTCCTTAAAGATCACAGAGCCATGGAATCACAGCATGGCTGGGTTGGTAGGGACCCCCCAGACCCATCCCAAGGGCTCAGGCTGCCCAGGGCTCAGCCATGGCCTCACGCACCTCCAGGGCACCCAGAGCTCCAATGGAGACTGGGAAAAATGAGGCTAATGCAGACCAGCTAAGATTTGAGAGGCCCTGACTTAGCAGCAAACAGCTCCAGCATATGGGTAGGAACCCCAGCAAAGGGGAGCAGTCACACATCACTGCACTGAGGTCTCTGTCCCAACCAATGCAGCAGTTCTCCCAGAGCAGCTTTCAGCTTTTCGCTGAACCCATTCTGTCAGTCTGAGGGTTACACAAAGGACTGCAGATGGGACAGTCCCGCTGTGTCCCAGCAGTCACCTCTTGCCATTTTTAAATGGGGCTCAATGCAGCACTGCTCCCTGCCCTCCAGGGCAGCATCAGCTCTTGGAACAGCATTCACCCCCACAGCCCAACCCAGCAGCACCTGAGGGCCCTCCACCACCCACAGGTGCTCCATGGAGCGATGCTGGGATGAGCGCAGGGCTCGGCGGTCCCAGGGCTTCCCCCCTCCTGCTGGGGGCACAGCCAGGTCCCAGCTTCACCATTGAGAAGCAGCATTTGGCAGAGAAGCTGCAGCACAAGTGGATGTACGAGGCTGCAGTTCCCAGCACCACTCCAAGCACTCCGGGACACAGAAGCCCACAGTTCAGCCCTCCCCTCCCCGATGAACAGATGTCAATTTGCAGAGCTCAGGATGGGGGCAGCTCGAGTTCTGCTTTCATGGGGAGAAGCTGTGAATCACAGCAACACTGCACAAATCCCTCCTCGTCCACAGTCAAAGGGCCTTTGGGCTGAGCTGTGGGACGGGCTGCTGGTGCCATTTCCCAGCAATAGCAGCTGGGGTCTGAGCAGCTTCAGTGGGGAGCAAAAGGAGAAAGGGAGGAAGTCCTGCACAGCTCCTCTGACGTCTCAGAGCTCAGAGCACACCCTGTGCTGAGGGTCCTGGGGGAGGGATGTGATGGGGCAGCTCGAGCCCTGCACGTAGCACACTGCGGGGATCCATTCAGGCTGCCAGTGCGTTCACAGCTCTTCTTTGTGAGTCATACTGCTGGGCTCACAGCAGGGTACGGAAAGAGGTGGCTATAAAAGGCCAGGGTGGAGAGGTTGGGCTGCACTAACAGTGGGAAAAGGAGAAGAACCAAATGTCAGCCCTACGCCGATGTACCAGAGCTCCCCGCACCCACCTTCACTGTTCCTCCTGCTGGCAAGTGTCCCACGTTGTCCAGAGAACCCACTTTGGCTTGGGCCTTCTCCTTGAAGTTCAGCTTCTGATTCTCGATTTTGACATCTCCTCCCCCTAGTACAGGATTGAGAAGGAGTGAATTCATGGGGGGCTCTGAATGGTTCCACCCAAACTGTCCCCTCCCAACCCGCAGAGGAACCCCCAGCATTCCACTGTGCAAACATGAAGTCCAACTGTAAAAGTGCCCACAACAGAAATACAGGCAATGATGCCACCGAATCCGATGGTTGCAAATATGCCTGAGATTGGTTCCCAAATTCTCCCTGTTCACTCCCATTCCCACCCCACCGCTGTGACGGGCGCACAGCCACGTGTGACCATGGCAGGAGATGGAAGTGGAGGGGACATTGCGGGCACACATGGAGATGGATGGGCACTGAAGGTCAGGAAACAACCAAAGCCCTTTAGCAGCATGGATGGCTGCAGTTCCCCCATTGGCACCACCTTGGTGAGGCCAACAGTGGGAGCCAACTGATCAGGTCCAACCAAACCAGTGAGAACCTCTGACAGCAGAGAGTTCTGGATGGATCGCTCTGCTTTCACCCCAGGACAAGGGCAGCATTGTTGCACAGAGCTCATCATGAGATGGCTGAACAAACAGAGGTCACATTGGTGGCACCACGTTCTCAACGCGGGAGCTGCCATGTGTCCAACTGAGGAGCTCTGTGTGCACGGCTGAACTGCTTTCAACCCATCGTGCTGGCAGAGAGGGCCAGGAAACACCAGCAGCACACAGAGACCAGTGTGTGATAATGGCTTCCAGCTCTGGTCACTGAGATTCATCCCTTGCACACGGAAGTTCCATTGCCACAAGTCCTCCCGTGCAGTAGCTGCCCCCACACAGAGCTATAGCAGCCAAGGCAGCATGCTGGCCAAGCTTCAGGATGCTACAGAGGCACAATGTGCTGCCAGCCATGGTGCCTGGAGTCTGCAGGCTGTCACTGTGCTCTCAGTGGGGAACAAACAGTTCCTGCACCCTCATCTCATAATATGGCACTGAAGAGCCCAAATAAATCAGGAGCTGCTGCTGAGCTGGAGGCTGACACTTCCCTCATAGCTGCTCTGCCACCTGCACAGAGGGCACTCACCCTCCATGGCTCCTTCCCCAGCACAGCCCTGGAGCTCTCTGAGTGTGAATAAAGCTTCCACGCCCCAGAGGCAGCCACGGTGCCCCTCCAGGCACTTCAGTGGGTTACCTTGGAAAACCTCCAAGGTAAGGCATCTCTTGTCCCTCCGCACTCGAAAGCACTACGAACCCAGGCAGCCCTTTGGAAATACTGCCTGGAAGCAACAAAGCTCCTGAACTACTACAGTACTGCAGGGCAATACATAAACGATTTCACCTTCTGCAGACAAACGATGAGGAAATGGTAAAATCCCCACCTGGCTTGTGCTTAATATTTGCTTTCGAGCCGCACTTGGAGGACACTTTGGAGAGGTCCACTTTCTTGTTCTGGATCTGCACCTGGAGAGACAAAAAGAAAGAACTGAACACAAAAACCACTGCTGGGCATCTGGAGGCCAACGTGCCATCCCTCCATCGGGTCACACCTCCTGAACCCACACCTCCTGGACCCACACCCCTCTGCACTGTGTTCTTTATCTAGCCCCAACCTCCCAGGCACTGAATGCCCAACGCTTTGGCATCACCTGTAGACCTGTGCCAACCCAGAGCAGTTAATGTGAGCAGAGAGAAGCTGAAGGCAGGTCAAAGCTAACACATGGACAAGAACCAGCAATGCTCTGAGCTCACGGCACATTCGTGGCAGAGGGACAGAGAGGAGCTGCCCTCATTGCCACGTTCCCCATCCTGTCTGCTCAGTGGAGGTTGGGCTCGAGGATCTCAGCTTCTCCAACTGCAATGGTTCTGTGGTTCAGTGATGGTGCCCAGATGGGACAACTGGTGAGAACAAGCTGCCCTCAGAGACAAGCAGTGCGTGGGAGCTGCTTCCCATCACTGCTTAACCTCACTCTATCAGTGATCTGATACTGGCAGAGAAAACCTCTCAGGAAAAAACATCTAGGGTGATGCAACCATAAGATCGTGACACATTCATGCTCAGTAAACCATCTTCAAAACCAGCAATGAGCCAAATGTTCCAACACAGCTCTTAGAGACACAGGTTTGAATTTGGGGAGAAGCATCTTCTCTATTTTAGCACGGTGGTGCAGGTGAGCAGTCGCTGGTTTTGGGTCTTTCTGCTCTAAAAACATCCATTCTCTGACCATGGGTTCAGCGCAATGCACTGCGCCCAGCTTCAGGCCTTAAAGCTCCTCCCTGCAGCCCCAGGTGGGTGAAAGACCCCTGCTCCAAAGTTTGCCCCTATGTCCTTCACTTCATGCACTCATCTGCCATCTCCTGGGGATCCAAACACTTCTACCTCAGTGGAAGTGTCACAACTCCTCCACGAGTCGCTGTGTTCAGGCTGCAATGGGAGACGAGCAGGGCTGGCACCTGCAGAGCCAAACTCTCAGACCCCACTGCCAAGTACAGTTTAGCCTCCAACGCTCCATGCAGAGGTTCTGGTAGGAAGTGTGACCCTCATCTCTTGGTGCATTTTCTACCTCTGACCATCACCTCATCCAGATATGGAGCTGAAGCCAAAGGGTAGGGAAATGACAAGCAAATTCCAAATCATCTGATTAAACCTTCAGCAATACCCACTCTACCTGCATGGTAGAAAATCTGTGTCTTTACTGGCTTTCTTTAAAAGAAGGGGGGAAAAACACTACAGCAGAAGAAAGGCTCTGCCCAGGAAATCCATCCTTGTGTTGCTGCATTTCTGTCAGACGTGATGGAAGTAGGAAGGAATCCCTGCAGGCATTCGAGGCCAGGCTGGATGTGGCTCTGGGCAGCCTGGGCTGCTGGTTGGCGACCTGCACACAGCAGGGGGTTGGAACTGGATGAGCAGTGTGGGCCTTTTCAAGGCCAGGCCATTCTGTGATTCTAACTGGTGCTGCAGCAGCGCTCAGCCCCATTCACACACACTGTGCTCCCTGGAGCAGCAGCCTCGGCACCAACCTCAGGGCTGGGACTGCTGAGCCTGGTGTCCTACAGACCCCCAGCACTGAATGCCAGCACTACGCAGAGACACCGCAGTGCCGCAGCCCTCGGCACCACGAGGTGTGCTGGCACTGCTCCTCACCTAGCATCCATCCCCACAACAGACAGAGCCCTTCGTGCTGAATCCTTCGGTGTCTTTTGGAACCAAAAGCACCACGAGCACAGCAGGGCAGCACCAACTGCGTCTGCCAGGCTACCACCACCTCCCTGCAGGCATCCAAGGCCAGGCTGGATGTGGCTCTGGGCAGCCTGGGCTGCTGGTTGGCGACCTGCACACAGCAGGGGGTTGGAACTGGATGAGCATTGTGCTCCTTTGCAACCCAGGCCGTTCTGTGAGTCTGTGATGTAGCACCTGTGTAGTTACCTTGTCTTCTTTTGGCAGATGCTTTCAGGATACAGCCCAGCAAACCAAGCACACAGACACCACGAGATGAGCCTTGAAACGAGCTCAGCTCTGCTGCCAGAGATACCAGCAGCCTTTACAGCAGCCTCTACTCTCAGAAGCTAATTGCAGCTCCAAGGCTGACTCCCAGCCCTCCCTTCCTCTGCTGAAGTCTCCCTTCTTGTGAGGCACAGAGGGAAACGGCTCTGACTCAGCACACCTCATTTCATCCAATATCAGACAGCAGAAGCAGGTCAGGGACTGATGAGCCTCCACTGACTGCAGAGGGAACCCACAGTGCCCCAACTCTGGGGTCAGCATTGAGCACATCTCCACTGGCTCAATTAACACCGCGCAAACGAGGCGAGAAATAGGTCAGGAGCTGCAGTTGTCACAGTGCAGCAACACCACCCACAGAACCCACGGGTGGGGAACCTGGGTCTCCAGCCCACGCTGTTTGCACAAGCCCTGAAATTCTGCCACACCGTCCTGCAGGAACGGAGCATCCATGGGACTGACATATAAAAACACAGTACATGAGCAGGAGTTAGTAGAAAGACAGCTTGCCCAGAGCCCATACTTACATTCCCACCTCCAGGGACATGCTTAATATTGTCCTTGGAACCACACTTGGACTGAACATGGCTGTAGTTCGCTTTTTTGGAGACTATCTGGACCTGGAACGTCACAGAATGGAAAACAACACAAGGGAGAGGACCGGTTAGCGTCGTGGCTGGAGAGGATGGATGCTCCGAACGGCAACAAACACAGAGCTGAGTTAAACTCACAGCAACTGCAGAAACGGGGGTGGAAGCAACGGAGAGGAGAGCGAGAGAGAAGCGAAGACGTGAACAGAACAAGAGCTGCACACACAGGGTTAGTGTGAGAGTGTGGCACTGCCCGGGGAGGTGGGGTGGCTGGGCATCAAAGGTCGCCCAGGGGAGCCATGGCTGCCGTGTCCAGCAGAGCTGCAGCGGGGCTGTGCTCACACACCTGCCTGCAGGGCTGGGGATCCTCCAGCAGCTGTGGGCAGTAAAGCCCGGGCTGAGAGATCCCACATCCCATGAAGGCTGCCCAACCTCCCTCCCATCGATCCGATCAGTCTTAGGGTCATTAAAGCGATGCGCTGTTTCCCCTTAAACTATCAGGACTTTTTATTTTATTTTTTCACCAAATCCCAAAGCAGTGCACTACACGGGCTGCCTTTGATTCCCAGGGGTTAATTAACTGAGTTGGAGTGACAGATCCACGTGTCCACAGGGTTAGTGACAGCGAGCGCTCAGTGGCAGCTGCTGAGCTCCCCGTGCCAAAAGCTGAACCCCACAGCACTGGCTGGAAAGAGGTGATGAACCCAAAGCACAAAAGGAAGCACCGGAACACTCTCACTGCAACAGGTTTCCACCAGCAACTCGTCCCGTTCACAAAGACTGGATTCAGTGCAACCCTTTCTGAAAAATGCACTTTGGCCATAGCGTTCATGTAGGCTCAGCCTGCCGCCGAGCACAAACCCCGTCTGCTCATTACAGGCTCTCCCCGAACCCAGCTGAGCTGGGCAGTGGTGGCTGCCCAACACACCAAGCTGTGCTCCCAGGCCGTGGATGGAAATATTGCAGGGAAGAGCCCTTAAAGCTCTGCAATATCCACGGCAACGCACGGCACTCAACTGCAGCTCTCGCCCTGGTTCCAAATGAGAGCCGTGTAGGAAAAGTGGTCTTAAGGGAAAAGTGGTCCTGAGGCTCTTCCGACTCAAAATTAAGGCTAAAAGTGCAAATGGAGAACTCTGCTCTGAAAACGCTCACAGAATGCAGACACATCACTACCACCCTGATCTCCACGTGTTTTACTGAGCGCATCCCAGGAAAGAGCTGGAGAAGTGTTGTGCAAGGGACAGTGACACTGACAGGAGAAAGCAGGAGAGCTGAAGAGAAGGGAAAGTGACTCAAAATGGAAATGTTGTCCTTCATCTCCCACAGAGAAAAGTCTGAAAGAAACTCACTTTCCCATTGGGCTGTTTTGGGACACCCTCTTTTGTTACGGCTGTTTTAGTTGGAGCCATTTTAGGGACCGCATTGGGCTCAGACTTTCGGGCAGCAGCGGTTGATTCTGGCTTTTTCTCTACCTTCCCCTAGATGGAGACAAATGGATGGTTTCAACCAGCAACAGCAAAGGCACGGGCAGGAAGGCATGGGAATCCCAGCTCCCCATACACACAGCACAGCTGCCAACCCCACGACCTGAGCAACGCAGCTCAGGCAGCATCATGGCCGGGTGTCCAAGAGGACACCATCACACACTGAAATCATCGACCCCAGCCTTGGCTTAACCCAACAGCAGCACAGGACCACCTCCTTCCACGGAGGGCACGGTGCAGACCTGGGATACACACAGCTGGCACATCTGCTTTGCTTGGAGCTTCCACCCCATATACAGCCGTGCTCCCATTCGGGTTTCTCAGCCCCACACTGCCTGGACTCAGGCTTGGGAATGAAGAACTGATGTAATTTTGCAGCTAACCCAATGCAGGTGACTGCAGCTAACCCCACGGAACAGAAGATGGAATAAAAACGTACAATAATAGAAAAAATCACCAACTGCCTGAGAATATCCACGCTCCTGCTGCTCTGGATCCAGGTGAGCAGAGCAGTTTGTCAGCAGGGCTCCTGCATTCCCTGACCCACCGGGAAGCAAAGCCTCAGCACTCAGCACTGAGGCGTTCTGATGCCCTGGAAGCACCCAGCATAAAGAAGAGTACAAAAAAGACAACTTTCCTCAAAGGTCAAATTTAGCACCTCCATGAAAACGGCAACAAAACAAAGGGCAGTCAAACAGGATGTGAAAACGCATCCCCTTGAACCAACAAGTAACCCTGCAAGCCATAGAGTGCTGCAACCCTCCAAACCCCACCATGGTCTAAACCACAGAACAGCCATGCTCCTGTCTGAGCAGGTATCAGAAGCATTTCTGAACATCAGTTTGGTCTCGATTTGCAGTGTGTTGTACTGGAAGGGTCTCTGTTCTGCTCGCCTCAACGTTCTGCAGTTCTTCTTACTGTCACTTGCAGAAACTGTTTTGTGGAGTGAAGGCTGATCTCCCACAGCTCCAAAGCTCAGGGGACCACACTGTGACAGAGCACAGCTCACACACTCGTAACTCTGCAGCCCAATTCCATGCACACGTCGATGCTCTCCATGACACACAGCCCCACAAAGGAACACCCTGACTTCCACGTGCCAACGAGGAGATCTGGGCTCCCGGCACCACCTGCACTCTCCTGGCACCAGGTGGAAGCTGTAGGTTGGGTATTCATTGCAGCAGAGCTGCAGCAAAGCTAAGTGGGTGAATCTGTTCCGCTTTGTGGAATCTGAAGCCCTCTGACCAGAGGCAAGCTGCTGACTCGTTCTGCTGGGCAATGATGGGGGTACCTGCTAGACAATGTCCGATAAACATCTTATTATTATGGATACCCACAAAATGATTAAAGCCCTCAGGAGAGGGCTACAGGCATACCCCCAAACCTGCACCATTTACATGGCAGTGAAAATGCAATTTAAGCCCATTACTGATGGAGAGCCTCAAGTGTCTCTATGCACGTACTTCTCCCTGCAGCTCATCCAACATTTCTTTTACTGGGGTCACCATAATTCATCCAAAGGGCAGAAGTGGCATTTGGGACACAGTGGGCATGGTGGGAAGGGTTGGTGCTTGTGCTTGGTGGTCTTTTCCAACCTTCACAACTCTACGATTCCATGACCTTGTGGGCTGCAGCTGCACGTGGAGAACCTGCATCCCATCCTTATCCAGTGACCATGTTGGTGGGACCCCAAAAGCTCTGCCAACAGAGCTCACAGCATGTTCCTTGAATTGGTGTGGGTACGGATGTCCTTCGCTGGGAAAGCTGGAAGTCCCTACCTTTAGGGACATGGCTTAGTGGGCATGGGTTGATGGCTGGACCCGATGACCTCAGAGGTCTTTTCCAACCATAATCATTCTGTGGTTCTATGGTTCTGTGTAAGAGCAACAGCTGCAGATTAACTTCAGCTCTAGGTCTGACACAGTGACCACAGCCCCTGCTCCTACACCTGGGGAAGGATCTGTGGGACTGGCTCCTGAATCCAGATTTCCTGCATCACAGTGCGTTACTCCACCTCTGTACCATCCAGCAGACTCAAATCCTCCTTCCAAAGGCAACATTTTGGAACACAGACAAGGTTGGAACTCCCAAAACCAACTACTTTCTACGTGAGGATGCACAGCAAACACGGAACCACAGCACTGTGAATTCCTGTACGTGTGCCAGGAAGGCTTTTCTGGTGGATTCCTTCTGTACACCACTCTCACTGCTTTGTTAATGCCTTGTGCACAAACCAAGAACCCAAAGAGGAGCTCTGCAGGGCATAAACACGAGGAGAGCAGCGAGGATACAGCCACCAACACCAGCAATGAGCACCCAGGACACTTCAGAGCTACAGTTTCAGAGAGCACAGCGTTCTCAGGCTGGAAGAAACGTACCTTTCCTCCACCAGGCTGATGCTTGATGTTATCCGTCGAGCCGATTTTGGAACGCACGTTTTTCAGGTCTGGAGCAGCAGCGCTGCCGGTCGGGCGCAGCGCTTTGGGGGCAGCGCTGGGTTTGCTCGCAGCCTTTGCAGGTGGTTTCTTTGCATCCGCAGCGGCGCTGGCGGTGGTGGTGGGTTTGGCTGCTGCAGGTTTGGGTTTGGGGCGGCTGGCGGCTGCGCCGGGCACGGCTGCGGTGCTGGTGGTGCCGGCGGTGCTGGTGGTGGTGGGGGTGGTGGAGCTGCTCTTCACAGCGCTTCCAGCAGCGCTCTTAGGGCGGGCCAGGTCTGCTGCAATGAGCACAGGGACATCGGAGGGGTGATGGGAAAGGGGGGGGTCAGATGGCACGGCCACAAAGTGCCCCGGGGCCACGAAGGCACAGCGGCTGCAAACAAAGGATTTGAGGAGATGGAAACTGCAGAATTACCTGACGGGGACTTCGCAGTGCTCTTCTTGGCATCCACAGGCTTTGCATCCGTCTTGATGGCTGTGCAGTGCAGAACGTGTGGTTAGTGCTGACAGGGCAAGGGGGAATGGTTTGAACTGAGACAGCAGAGGTTTGGGTTGGATGTGAGGAGGAAGTTTTTCAGCCAGAGGGTGGTGAGGCACTGGAACAGGTTGCCCAAGGAGGCTGTGGATGCCCCATCCCTGCAGGCATCCAAGGCCAGGCTGGATGTGGCTCTGGGCAGCCTGGGCTGCTGGTTGGTGACCTGCACATAGCAGGGGGTTGGAACTGGATGAGCACTGTGCTCCTTTGCAACCCAGGCCAGTCTATAGGGCCCTGTGTTACAGAGGAGGATGCCCACAGCACGTGTAATTCCTGACCCAGAGGTCACCACACACTGCTTCTATTCTTAAAATAACTTCCAGAATCCGATGGCACTCACTCCAACATTACGTTCATCTGCCCCAGTTTCACTGCTTTCAAAAGCCTTTCTTTAACTAACAGCAAAAACAAACGTCTGTCCACCCAGAAGCTTGGTGTCACTGGTAGATCAATGTTAACCAATGCCAATTTCCTTGCACAGAGGTTATTGCACATTTTGGTGCCTGTTATAACTGTATAAAAATCAATCACTGAAGAGAAAATGTGCCTTTGAGCAAAGCCCAGCGATGCTGCCCTGATTACATCCCACCCAGGCAGAGGTCACTAAACCAGGAACACATCTTTTCTCAGAGCAGAACAAAACCACAGACATTTTTTTACCACCAAGGTAAAAAATCATGGACTGAAATACACAAACAGAGCGTTATTTGAATGAGTCGATAACGGTAATGCTTCATTTCCTGTAACAGTCTTGGGTTTTTTGGTACTCTGCAGGGCTGGGGGGGAAATTTAATGACATCAGCACAGAAAAAAGGGGCAGATAATGATAGGTCAGGTCAGCCTGGTCATCCCATCCAGAGTTTGCAAAAAGCACTCAGTTAAACGCCACAGATAAGACACAAGATCTCCTAATGAGGTGAAACACACCGGAATAATTTAATAAGGCCTTACGGACAGATAGCTAATTAAAGCCAATCACATAATGAGGTCCTCCTGAGCCAAATGGATCTCCCTCCTTGAGACCCCAGGACTGGGACTGCTGGCAGCAGGGCAGGGCAGCGCTTGGTACGAAGGTGCGAGGAGCAAACACTGCCACATAAGGAGCTGTGATTATTTCTGCTCCTGTCAGCAGGACCAGGTGCTGGAAGCCCACTCACAGCAGCAGCAGTGATGCTGAAGCACTGGGAAAATGGTCTGTAATGGTGGGCCAAGCACTGAACATAACTCAGACCTCTTCTCTGGTAGGGAGATTGACTGCCAGCACCAAAGAAGTGATGCCATGCAACTTCCAAAGAAGCCACCATCCACTCATTTACATAGCGAGAATGATAAAACATTTGGGCAAGCCTCAGGGATGTGGCAGGGTGTGGGTTTTAACATGTGAAAACCAAGAGCAGATGTCCTTCTGAAATGCCATCCTCAGCCAGAAAGTTATTATCTGGCCTAATGCTACGCTGCCATGAGTCCCAGCTCTCCATCCTCTCCATTGGAGCACCCTGTTGGAGCTGCATCTGCTCTGCCTGACCTGCAGAGGTTCAAGGCTTCACAGCACCATTCACCCTTCACTGCACCATCACTTTGTCCCCTTCCAAAAGAAGCCCCCCTTCTTTCATAGGGTCACAGAGTGGCTGGGTTGGAAGGGATCTCAAAGACCCCCTTCTTCCAACCCAGTGCTGCAGGCAGGGCTGCCAACCTCAAACCAAACACCAGACGAGATGCCCAGGGCCCCATGCAACCTGGCCTCGAGCACCTGCAGGGCTGGGGCTCATCCACCAACCCTGCCTCCCTTCTGCAGTCCCAGGACAGCTTTACTTCCTGGTGGAGCTCCTCCAGTTGCCCTCAAGTCTCCATCACCGTCCCAGTTTCCCCTCTGCACACTGCCATGTCCCACAGCCTCAACAGCACAGGAGCCCCTTCCACTGCACATCTTGTCACTTGGAACAACTTCCCCCTGTCTCTGCATCAGTGACTCCATCTCCTTTCAGATGTCACCAGATGACACTTCTCCTTTGTCTGCACCTCAGTTTTGGAAGGAGGAATTAACTCAGCTGAACTCATTAAAATGTGTCAAGCATTCAATGCTGCAGTTTGCATAACAGAGCAAACAAAAGGAATTCTAACAGAATGTCCACAGGATGAGTTAAGGCACACAGCTCTTGCAAAGTGCAACACTTCCTCTGCACAGGATTAATTATATTTTCCCCCTGAGCAAAAAAAGCGTGGGATGTACCTCTAGTGTAATATATTCCAGCACAGTTATAACACCATTACTCTTTTAGGAAACACGGGTTATGAATTCATGCTCTGGGACTCATAGAGCAAAGCAACTGATGTGCGTTAGTTTTTCAAAGTTCAGTGGAAAATCTAAGGGTTGGAACCAACCCAAGGCATCCTATGATTCCATGGCATTCTGATAAGTGATGATGAGGTCCAACCACATGAGAACATTTCAGTATGTTTTCATCTGAAGTTACATCTCTCAAACTATTCAGATGGGTGGAAATAATGCTTTCAGGAGGCCAACGTGCTGCTGTGTTGGCTGTGTTAAACTCATGGGAGGTTTCCTCGTGGCAGCAGTGCCCTGGATGGACACAGGCATTGGGTGAAGCTGATGTGATTTCCAAGCTCTCCAAGCATTGGTCAAGGGGAAAAGCCACCAGACTCCAGCTGGAGACAGACTTCAGACAGCAGCTGAGTCCTTACTTGTAAATCAATGCTCAGTAGTTGCATTAACCACAAATCAACCCTGCTTGCTTATTAAGAGACTAATTTTAATCAAGTGGGTGTCACAGGGTGCTGACAACACAACTACTGAACACAGCAACACGACGAACTGAACACATCCCTTTGCATGAACCACTGGTGCTACTCAACCAAGAACCAGCAGCTGGACAGAAAGAGACCTGCTGGAAACAAAGGAGGGCATGCTTACATGTTGGCCTCTTGGGTGGGGAGGCAGTGGTGCTCTTTGCCCCAGCAGCTGCAGTCACAGGGGAGGTGGCCGTTGTCCGAGGAGTGGCGGCGGTGCTCCTGGCAGCAGCACGAGGAGCAGCAGATGATGGAGGCTTTGAGAGCGAGGTCCTCTTATCCGGGCTCTTTGCATCTGTGACCTGGAAACAGACAGGTTCTGTTACAGCCAGCAGCTCACTGACAGCCTCTTCAAAGCGTCTGCCAGCAAAAAGCATGAAAGAAATTGGTTTATTTCTCTCATGTAGAAGGTATTCTTAAGTCTAGAAGGTAAATCCTTGAACACAAGTAAGACACAGACAGGACCTTGGCCAAATGTGTATTAAAGCAGAGATAAGAGGTGAAAAAGTTTCATTTGTCAACTTCACCGAGAGCAGAAAATTCACCAGACCTTAAAATTCAACTTAATATCAACAGATTTCAGGCAAAAGCTGATTCCATTCCTACACGTTTTGAATGTGAAGGGCTGGGGAGGGATGCTCCACATTTCCATGCCTGTAAGCTCCAGGTCTGCACGATGCAGAAAGGCCTCAGGAGTCAGCGTAGGGAAAACCCAAGGGCCATTCCCTGATGTTAACACTGTGCATGGATGCCTTACTTGAGCTTTCAGATGAAACACTTTAAGAACGGTCCACAGATGATCTCTTAGAGGAGAATTACAAATCTACAATGTCTGCTAAGCCCATAAATGTACCAGTTATCTTTGCACAGTTCTATAATGGTTATAGAATCATGGAAGGACGTAAGCTGGAAGGGACCTTAAAGATTATCCAGTTCCAGCCCTTCATACAGAAACAATCCGTGGGAAATTCTCAAGTATTCAAACTGTTTTTCCTCTTTCAATATTAATACTGAAGTTATCCATCCAGTTTTCCCATGCTTTTGTTTGGATTTAACAGCTACCCTGGGTTTGCAGTGTACCTATATTTCAAAATGACAAGAAATAGAGAAACAGAAAAATATACTGCGTGCTTTGAGACACAAGGAAAAACATGGGAATGCAGTCAAGTTTCATATTCACCTTTGTGAGAACTAAATGCCTGAGACCTGATGCTCTATGTGGGTTAACACAAGCTGATGTCAGTAATCATAGAAACACAGAATTGTTGGGTTGGAAGGGACCTACAAGATCGTGGAGCCATGGGATGGTTGGGTTGGGAGGGTCTTTAAAGATTATAGAGCCATAGGATGGTTGGGTTGGAAGGGTCCTTTAAGATCATACAGCCAGAGGATGGTTGGTTGGGAGGGACCTTAAAGATCATAGAACCACAGAATGGTTGGATTAGGTTGGAAGAGTCCTTTAAGATTGCAGAGCCAAAGAATTCCAAAATGGTTGGGTTAAAAGGGTCCTTAAAGATTATAGAGCCATAGGATGGGTTGGGTTGGAAGGGTCCTTAAAGATCACAGAGCCATAGGATGGGTTGGGTTGGAAGGGATCTTAAAGATTATACAGCCATGGGATGGTTGGGTTGGAAGGGTTCTTTAAGATCACAGAGCCAAAGAATTGTAGAATGGTTGAGTTGGAGGATCCTGAAAGCCACTTCCAGACCCACCCTCTGCCCTGGGCTGGCTGCCCCACAGCTCAGGCTGCCCAGGACCCCCCTACAGCTTCGGGCACCTCCAGGGATGGGCACCCACAGCTCTGGGCAGCGCCAGTTCCTCACTGCCCAACAACTGCACGCCTCCTAACACAGTAAATCACATTTGCTGCCTTATCCTTCCACGATCAGCATTAGTTTTGACTTCTGGGCAGAAGTGGGGGCACGTGAAGCTCTCGGAGCTCCCCGCAGCAGCACGCCAGTACTTACCTTTGGCTTAATCTCTTTTGGAGTGAGGGTGGAGGGCCGCGTGGCGCTGCTGGCCGGGCGCTTGGGAGTGGTGGTGGCAGGAGGGCCCGCCGTGGGGCTGGTGGGCTTTTTGTGGGGGCCGGGAGTGGCAGAGGCCGGCCGTTTGGGGCTGGTGGCGGCCGCGGGCCTGGCTTTCGTTGCCGTGGGCTTTGCTGCTGGTGTGGATGCTGCAGGCTTTATGGGTTTTCAAAAAGCAAAATCCGGGATCGAAAGAAAAACAAAAGAAAACACAACAAAAAAATAAAAAGAGCGCACGGTAAACCGAAACATCAAGCTGCAAGAACATAAGAAAACGGTAATTAAAATGAAAGAAGAAGCATCAGCTTTCTGTTTTCTGAGCCTAACGGAGAGGAAGCAGCTCCAATGCCTTCAGAGCCCAGTGGAGTTTTGCCATTCAGTTTGCTAAAAATTGATTCCAGCGACATCCGAAGCAACAGAAGGAAGCACTGCTAAAGCTGGGATTAGTGATGGCTGCTCCTGGCATCCAGTCCTGCATGCGGGAAGCAAGATGCTGCTTTCCAAACTACAGGCACACGGCGGATGGCAAGCTGTAGATCTGAGCCCATCAGCTCCAATGGCCCAGCGCCCCCCGCCCTGTGCTAACTGCAGGAACGTGGGCTGTGCCAAGGGCTGCATGCTGCTGGAGGCAGAGCTCTGCCATGCTTCACAAGCAGCTCCAAGGTGAGGGAGTGTGGGGTCCCGAGCAGGACACCTCTGTGCTAAGTGTAATGTAATCACATTGTAGAGTAATGCTGTCAACAAGGAGAGTATCAGCACAGCACACTGTTACCGAATACCTTGACCACTTCTGCATCGCAGATGTCAAGCAGAGAAACCTTTGAAATAAAAGCTCACCCCAAATCGTTACACCCCTTTTCAGCCAACTGTGCTCCAGGCTGCACTGCAGAACTGAAGGCGTTTGCTTCACCAGAACGGTTCCCCGGCGGCGGCTCAGAAAACAGAACTCGTGGCTGTGGCTTAAGAAGCAGCAAAGCCAGCAAAGGGAACCATGGAAGCACAGAGAGTGAAGGTGGGAGGTCTTTGTCTTCTTACCTTTGTCTTCTTCTCGGGGCTGGGGGGCAGCTCCTTGTTGGGGGGTGCTGTGATGTCGTTCCCTGTCACGGCGTCGGCTGCTTTGGGCTCCTCTGGTTTTGCTGGCAAAAAAGAAGAATGGAGACTTCAGTTTGAGCCTTTTTTGTTGGTTTGGTTGGCTGGGCAGTTTTGTTTAAGCCCTTTTTCCCTGTTATTCATTACAGTAACAAGAGACAGAACAGAAATGGTTATGGGTTGGCTATTTTTGGGAAAATTTCCCCAAACCAGAAGACCCAGGGGAAGAACATCCTTCCTATTATGGGACAAAGCCAACAAACACTCATCCAGATGCCATCAGCATCCAAGTGCTCAGCTCGTGGAGCTGCCAAAGGGAACCTCTTGGTTAAGTAAAACTTCCCCATCCTTCAATGCTATCACACTTTGGAACGAAGCTCTGCATCTCCCAGCCTGTCTCCCAGCACAGAGCACTGAGGCTGGGACGCTCATCCCCCATCACCTGCAGCTCAGACAGAGCCCATCAGTGCCGCTTCCCACAACAAGGCGAGGGATTGTCTGCAGCCAAAGGGCAGCAGCACAACAACCCCAACAGAGGGACATTGTTTTCTGCATCTCTGCAGAATCGATGATTCTCTTCCTGTTTTCTCGCTCAGAGACGGCTCAGCGGCTCCACGCAGCCCTGGTTTGCAGCTAATCTATGCTGTCTCTCTTCCACTTCTTCTCCCCAGTGAATTTCAACAATCCCCACAGCTCCTCATCTCTCTCACCCATTTTACCCACAGTGACACCAGGAGGAGTGCCTGCTATCAGCCAACGTGCTGTGGAACCACAGCCCTGTGCCCATCCACCCCATGCCCACGGAGCTCACACTGCGGAGCTGTGCTTGGAATTTGCCCCTCTCAGCCATCAGCCACCACTGGAACGACCTTCCATCCCTGCACTGTTATTCCTGCTGCTATTTCAGCCCACTCAGTGGTGCACAAAACCTCTCCCTTGATGACAACCCTAAAGCCACCCAACAGAAGCCGCTCATCTGCTTGGGATGTGGATTACTGAAGCTTCAGGATTCCAGCTCCAGCAGCTGCCAAGCTTTGCAGTGCATCAGAAGTCGTTTTATGTTACCTTACAAGCTGCAGACCACAGCACAGGATACCTGCGAGCAGCCCCAGCAAACACACCAAGCAACCGGGTGAGCACAGAGCTCCCACACAACCAACAGAGCAGAGTTCTTTAATGCAGAACAGCAGCATCACCGACGGATGGAGCTGTGCATGGGTGATGGCCCAGGTTATGGACCCACACCTGGGAACAGCACTGAGGATGGGGGAGGGAACCCGGATGGCTGAGGGCTCCGCTCATGGCAGCCCCAGTAAGGGGGTCCCACCCAATAAGGGGTCCCACCTGCACACAGCCCCAGGGATGGCAGAGGAACCATTCTGTGCTGCCTCCATGCAATTACCAGCCCAACACACTCACCAGTCCACTTGCTTCCACCCACCCATTAATGAGGAGGGTGCTCTCAGCCATCCGGAGCACTGAACCGCCTGGGAATCGGTGCTCGCTGTGGGGAATATTGGGAAAAGCTGCCAAACCTTAATCAGATGTGTTCATTAGTCTGCAAGAGTTACTGAAGAGCCCTTCAGCTCCCCCCACGTGGCAGCAAACCTCGGGAGTATTCCAAGGACATTGGCTCTGAGCAGCAGACATGGGACCTCCTTGGAGTGCTGGTGGACACAGGTTGCCCAAGGATGCTGTGGATCCCCATCCCTGCAGGCATTCAAGGCTGGATGTGGCTCTGGGCAGCCTGGGCTGCTGGTTGGTGACCCTGCACACAGCAGGGGGTTGGAACTGGATGAGCATTGTGCTCCTTTGCAACCCAGGCCAGTCTATAGGGCCCTGTGTTACACAGAGGAGGATGCCCACACCACACGTAATTCCTGACCTGCTGTCCCAAAGCCAAGTCCTGCTTACAAACAGAGTAACCACGTTTTTCCTAAACACAGGGAAAAAAACCCAATCATCCCCACCATCCCCAAGAAGAAAGCCCCCCAGCACCCTGTGACCTGCAGCCTGGAGGCTCCCCAGGCTCCCTGCAGCCTCCCATGAGCTCCTCCTACAGCTTTGTAGCCCATCTAACTATTTAACACGAGGATGGCAGAATGACGCAGGCTGGAAGGGATGTCTGGAGGTCATTCAGACCAATTCCCAGCTCAAAACAGCTCCAAATTACAGCAGGCTGCTCAAGGCTTTGCCATGGTGCCTTCCCATGTCTTCCAAGGGCTGGAAGGGACCTCCAAGACCACCCAGCTCCAACCCCTGCCATAGGCAGGGCTGCCAGCCCCTCACCCAGACACAGCTCAGGTGTGTCCAGGGATGGGGCAAAAAGAAGCCAAGCCTTTCAGTGGGGACCACAGACTACAGCAACCCACTGCTGTCCCACCTGCCCCACTTTAAGGGCTCTGCCCCCCCCAGGCCTGGCCCAGCTCTGGGATGGATTTGCAGCCACATCCCCACGCAGCTGTGAGCGAGGCCAGGCGCTCAGCCCCAATCCCCAGTGAGGATATCGGCGGGCTAAGCTGAGCTAAACATCATTCACTGCAACAGCGCCGGGATTCTCGTACGGATTAGAGTCATCAACAGCAAATCCATTAAGAGAACTAGATTAAGCAATAAGGCAGTGGCCATCTTTACTCTCTCTCTTTAACGTAAACAACCTCAGAATCAAAACCAGTCCTCGTTCGACACTGCTTTTGCCCAAAATATCACAGAGGCACGAGCTTTCCTCTTCACCCGTCCTACTCACACGACAGCTCATCACTTAAGCAGAAATGCAACCCAAAATACAACCGTCTGCTGCTTTCCTCCCTAGAGAAGGCCAACCAAAGCATCTTCCATGCAGAAGAGCATCTCCCATCGACACCCATGCAGAAGAGCGGAGCATTTCTTCTCCAAAGAGTGGCTGGGCACAGCACAGCTGCCAGGGGCTGGGGTCACCATCCAGGGTGTTCCAGGAACGTGGGATGTGGCAGGGGGAGATGTGGGCAGGTGTGTGGGGTGGGTGGTGTTGTACTGGAGATCTCTGAGGGTTTTCCAACCGCAACGATCTGTAATTTGCTGAGGCACTGAGTATCAATGTTGTGTTTGGTGTTGTGATCAGAGCCGAAGGAGCACAGCAGAATTCCTCACCGCCGGCCTGGCCCAGCCCAGGCTCATCTGTTGCTACTTCTGCATGGGAAAGGAAGCCCTACATCTTCCACAAACCAGCTACTTGGTACCACATGTACTGCACGGCACAGCCTGCAGTCACGTTTAGTTACAGTAACCAACACATGTAGCTGACCCCCAAAGTAATGCCTCTTATTTAGTTCCCTGGAAACGACAACAGATACAAAGAGCACAGTAACTTCATTGGATAGAGCAAATTCTGCACTGCCTGCTGCTCCTCTTCAATGCACTCCCAGAGCTGAGCCTGTGCCTCCATGGCAATGGTTCTAAGGAACACATCTGAGCACTGGAACCAACACAACACCTTGGATCACTGAATCTGAATCACAGCATCACAGAATGGTTGGGTTGGAAGGGACCTCAAGGATGATGAAGCTCCAACCCCCCACCA